TAGTGACGTGAACGTTTCTCTCCCAACACTGCCTGTGGGCAACCTGAGCCTGGGGACCATGCCTTGCTCATCTTTCTGCCTTCTCAGTGCCTTGCATAATAGACATTTTCTGAATTCAATTTAGTTAAACCGGTCATCCTGTTACTAGTATGCTATGTAAACATCTTTTTTTTTTTTTTTTTTGGTCATAAGGTGACTTTTCTTTTCTTTCTTTCTTTTTTTTTTAAATAGTGGGGCTATCTGACTTTGCCCCTCCTAGCTGGGTTCCGGCAGCCTTGGTTGAGAGCCCAGTCCAGCTTCTTGCTCCCACCCCTGTGAGCAACAGCATCAGGTTAAAAAAAAAAAAAAAAAAGCAGCTGCCTTAAGTGTTCCAGAATTTATTTGGGGAAAAAATTCAAGCTGTTTCTTTTTGAAGTAGAATGGGAGTCAGAGGTGAACCCTGACGACGAGCTGGCCAACGAGCTGCGTGGGAGGAGGTTTGCAAAGAGAGGCTCTCAGCTCTCAGGCTATTTCTTCTAAACAGCAGACAGACTCCCAGCACAGATCTGGGGCTCGGGGCACCCCTGCTGACCCTTCTCCTTGGGTGCAGACACAGGGCCTCACGAGCCCATCTTCACAGCCTTCTATACCACTAGCATCTGGACCAAAGCACTGACAGCCCCTCCTCCTCCTCCCTTCCCTGGGGAACATCACATACTCAGTCTGCTCAGCCCCGGCCCTAATGCGCACACAGAGATAGAAATAGGAGAAATGGAAATCCAAACCCAGAACTGGTGCTTTGTCCCCGAACCACGCCTTGTACAAGTCTGTACATACTGCAAAGATTTCAGCTCACCTATCAAAACATGTAGTACTCAGCCACATGCTGCCATGACCCAGACGGGGTCTGTAAGCCCCCATGGGATGCTACTGTGCCTGTGTTGAGCTTACTGTGTAGAGAATGGAAACGTCAGTGAGGGAAGAGCAGAAAGACGTGTTACTTGATGGCAAAGAGCCTGGGCTCTCACATACATTCAAATCCAAGAGATTAAATGAGACGGTGCAGGCATCAGCATCAACAGCAACAACCTTCCTCCTCCTCTGGGGCAACACAGCCCTAGACCCCAGAATGCTTTTCAAATCTTTCTTTCAAGTGTATCTCTCTTCTCCTTTTTGAGGTCCAAATGCAACACCAGAAATAGACCTCCTACTGACCTTTTGCCCTCTCTGATGCCCAATCACAGAGTCCTCTCCCTCCCTTACTCAGTGTTATCTAGTCGCTGACACTTTATCCTGTACAGGGGAACATTAGGGCAATGAAAAGAGACATGGTTTCTATTTCTGCATGTTGTTTGCAAGGCTGGATGATCATCTCTTGCCTACCCAGCTCAGAGAGCCTGCTGTCCAAAGACACCTTTCCAAGTACAACTTGGCATATTTCAAAGGAATTCTGGATGGCCCAGATACTCTGGGCATTATGTGGTCTCACAGTCCTTTAACTTTTAATCCAAAGGGAACCTCTCAGGCGACCTGAAGGGGCTGGGGTGTGTCACCCCACACTGTTAAGCCAAAGAAGTGTTTGAGGGAACACGTCAGGCACAGGGCAGAGAAAGAGGATTTTTAAATAGTTAACGTATTCCCATGGTTCAAAATTCAAAAGGTTTTACAGGCCATGTTTCCTGGAGGCAACAGATATTATTAGGTTATGTGTCTGTAGCTGTGCATATACACGTAAACATCTTGCAATTTTCCTCCTTCTTCCTCTTTAATAACACAAACAGTAGCATATTATAAACACTCTATGCATGTCGTTTTTTCCACTTAGCCACACATCTCGGAAATCATTCCACATCCATTACATAGTAAATTTCCTCATTCTTTTTCTATGAATGAATAGGATGGCATTTGACTATCTGGAAGTACCATATTTAACAAGTCCCCCTTTGATAAGCATGTAGGTTGTTCTTTCAAACAATGCTATGATGCACATATGTCTCTGTGCCTGTATGCAAGTATAATAGTAAGTGAAATTCCTAAAATGCAATCACTGAGTTAGATGGCATGGGCATTTCTAATTTTGACGGGTGTTCTCAAAACACCCTTCAAAGAATTTATACCAATTTACTCTCCCACAAACAATATATGAAAGTGCCTGTTCTTCTAGAACCTAATCAATAGTTTATCAATCTTTTTGATGTTTGCTAATTGAAAGGGAAATAAGTATGTTACTGTAGTTTGCACTTTACATGTTAAAGAAATCAATCCTTTGTGTATGAATTAAGCCCCTCAGTCCCAGAGCGAATCAAGAGCATCCAGTTTTACCAGACCAGCACATTCTTGCAATCTAGTGAGGTCACAAACACCTCTTGAGTCTACAAAGAACAGCCTTTAATCATGATGGTTCTCAATTTTCAGCTACTGTGTGCATCTGTTCTTGGTGGGAAGAGAGTGGCCCTATGGAAGGATCAGGGACTTTGGAACCAGAGAGACCTGGGCTCCAAGCACTTGCTCTGCCACTTACTAGCTCTATGGTCTTAGGAAATTATTTAGCCTCCCCAAATTCAGTCTCGTCACATGAAAATTGGGGATAATACTGATTTTGCAAGGTCTTGTGTCTGGCACATAGAAGGTACTTAATAAACGGCAGCAACTTTCATTAGTGTTAATAATCACCAGGCTAGATTCTAAGCCTCAGTGCATTTTTCACAATTAACAAACCCTGACATGGCCCAGCCACAGTCAAATGGCTCTTGTGTTATATGGCCACCAGAAGATTCCCAAATCCTCCTCTAATCCACCTCTGCCTTTTCCCAGAGTTTTCAGATCACTAAAACCCCACCCCGGGCTCTGGGTGAGAGCTGGCCTGTCCGTGTGCCAGGCGCCTGTTGCCAGATGATGTTTGTACTCAGGCACTCCCTGGACTAAGCAGTGTTCGTTTCCAATTACAGATGGGCAAGCTGGAGAAAAAACAGATCCTCCTGGGCAAACAGGAGGGACTTGCTCTCATCAGCGCCAGTCCACCTCGCCTTGCCTTTCCAGAACGCTCTTTCTGATGAGGTCTCTCGCTCTGGCAGGAATGCTAGTGATGTCCACAACTAGGGTTTCTAGCTGCACGTGGGACCCTCCTGACACCACCTCAAATGACTTCAGAGGCTGTTCCCATTCAGAGACGGTCCTGATTGCACACGCCCGGACGACAGAGATCACAGCCACGCTCCTCGCCCGTGCGGGGAGCTGCGAGGAGGGGCAGCTGCCGATCTGCCCAGTGCCCCCGCCGAACCCCCAGAGCCCCATCTCCTGTCCGGATGCCAACTTGCCCCCTGTCTCTATACGCCGGTTCAGACCCTCCTTCCACAGGCGCTGGCACCGCCCTAGAAGTCGAGAAATTGTCACCGTTTTCAGAGAATGCACCTTTGCTCTTTGTCCCCCGCGTTTAGTCTGCAGAAAGGGGCGGGATGCGAATGTCTGCACACCGAGTGCTTTATCAGTACAGAAAGCGGCTGCCTTTCCCCTCCAGACTCCAAACCCCAGTGAACGTCCCGCAAAACCATTCAGCCCGGGGGCCCGAGGCCCCGCTGGGTGTCGTCTCTCGCTCGGTGTGAACGCGGGTCCGGCCCAGACGCTGGAGGACCAAGCGGGGCGCAGAGATCCGACCCCACAGACGCCAGCCCCTGCCGGCCACACGGCGGCCTCCTCGGACCGGCCCCGGGCCCGCCTGCGAGAGCCCCACTTCCCGGCCGGGTCCCCGGCCAGGCCGAGGCGGGCACGGGGTGGGGGAGGGTCCACAGCCCGGCAGACTGGAAACGACGGCGGCAGAAAGCGCCTCGGCCTGCGGGCCGGGTATCTGCACACGCCCCCGTCCCGCCGCCGGGTCGGGCCTGACCGGAAGAGCCGACTCCCAGGGCCCGCAGTTCCGCCCCGAGAAGAGGAGCCCCCTAGTGTGGCAGAAAGCGCAGGCGGCGTGTGGAGCCCGAGGGCGCTGACGGGGGCACAGATCCCCTCCCAGCCGCCTCCGGCGTCCCGGAGGACCGAGGCAGCCACCCTTCCTCCCGGACGCCGCGCCCCGCACTCTGCCCGCCCCGCCCGGCACACTCGCGACCGGGCCGGAGCGGCGGAATGCCGGCCTCGTCCCGACGCCGCTTCGTGCTGCGCCCAGTTCTCAGAGCCCAGCGCGGAGCAGGGGCGTCGGCGCGGCCCGGCGGCGCAGAGCCCTCCCGGGCAGGGTGCGGGACGCGGGCTCGGGGCCTCGGGAGCGAGTGGGCAGTAGCCCGAGCCAAGTCCTGTTTCTCCGCCCCTCAGGCAGGCAGTCGGCCCCGGCTGTCCCGGCCCCGAACTCGCTGGCCGAGATGCCCGTTCCCACAGGCCCTGCCGCCTGGATGCCCACCGCGCTGCGCGAAAGCACATCTGCCCTCTTTGTTTCGTAAAACTTCGGCAATATCGCCAATAAGCCGAGCCAGGTCGCAAGGCTGCCGCGAGTCGCCTGCACGAGCCTGGACGCCCAGACCGACGGCGGCATCGGCCCCGCGGCGCCCGCACCCACCCCCGGGTCTCCGGCCCGCCCCGGCCCCGGCGCGCGCAGCGTCGCCTGCTCAGGTCGTCGGCTGGACCCGGGCGGTCGCGGGCGCCAAGGCGCAGCCGCCCGTCCGTGTGAGGTCCGGGAGGGGAGAAGGCGCGGCGCAGCGGTCGGTGAGGACAAGCTGAGGAGAGCGGCTGTCGCGCGCCCGGGGACAGGGTCCGGCACCAAGGAGCGGGCACCGCCACGCGAGGCCTGGCCCGGAGGCCGGAGAGGTACCCCGCGCCGCCGCGCCCCTCGGGGCGAGAGGTTCCCGGAGTGGGGCGGGAGAGCCGAGCGCTGCCCCAGACCCCGCTGGGAGCCGCTCCAGTCGGGGCAGCGGGGGGCAGAGGGAGGCGGCCCCGGGCCGCGCTTACCCGAGTGTTGAGGTGTCCTCGAAAGTGCTCCGCGGCCACCCGGCGCCCCGCCGCTCTCCCGCCTCCGCGCGGAGGAGCGCCCGGCCGGTTACGGCGGCTCCGCGCGGGCGGCGGCTCGGCGTCCGGCTCCCACCGGGTCTGCGCGTCCCGGCGCCCGCGGCTGGGGCGGCGCACGTGAGGCTCCTGTGCCCTCCGCGGCGCTCGGAGCACTGGCCCCGCACCGAGCGTGGCGCCTCATCGCCCCTCCAGGTGGCCGAGGCTGGGGGCAGGTACCGAGCGACCTGATTGGCGCTGGCCGGCGTCCTGGGAGAATCCCCCACTAGAGAGGCTGCTTGCACGAGGACGAAGGGAAGGGAGGAAACGGCGCGGCTGGCGCCTTCCAAAGACCCTTCCCTCGGCTCCGCGGCCTTTTAGCCTAAGAATCGCAAACGCGGGAGTCGGGCGCCCCAGGCGCGCCTCGGCACGTAGGGCTCTGCGTGCTGCGGCCCCGGCCGGCACGGAAAATCGGAGAGAACGAGTCTTAGGAGCCAGGGTGTGTCGCTGTCCTCTGCCAAGCGACTGCCCCGAGAGCCTCCCATTTCCGGCCCGCACGGGTCCCTGGAAATCCAGTGAGACCTGGATGTCCCCGCTTTTGAGGGGCGCCTCGTGCCCGCGGCAGGTCGGGATAGGACTCGGCGTGTCGTGAGGGTTGTGACAGCGGGATCTGGCGGGAAAAGGCAGGAAGGGAGAAGCGACGCCTCGACACGAGGAGCAACGTTAACGGTGCTGCAGATTTCTGCGTTAAAATCACCTTCTGTTAATGTTCTAAAACTCCAAGAGTTGCTTATTTGCTGTACCCCAAAAGAATAAGTCCTGACATTAGTAATTCAGAAGGTGTGCTGAGAAAATATGACAGGTTGAGATGGAAGGAAACTGTCGCTTTTTAGCACTTCTGAAACATTGTAAGACGGATCTTTTACCTGTTGTGGTCTGTTCATCTTTCTCCTGATCCTGCTTTTCATTCTTGGTTGGACTGAAGACGGGAGGAGAGAGGGATGGGGTCACCCTAGTTAATGCTCAGGGAGGGAGTGTTCCCACTACATCAAACGTTTTCCTCTTCATAGCCAGGGTAGTCTGGGGGTTCAAGGCAAAGGTGATCAATTTAAAAAACAAAACCCAGAAACTCTAAAACATTGAAAAACCAAGGATCCCCAGCCTAGGTCCGACTTGCAAAGGAGGGGAGCAGGAAATTTAGCATCTAGAGCAACTTTGAAATTCCTAATGCACTATTTTTTGAAAACAGCTGTCAAAGGCAAGCTATCCAACTATTCGTTCCAGCAGGTCTACTGTTGTTTCAACACTCACAAATTTTAAATATTGACCTCAGGTTTTTATGTGCTGCCTTTTCTCAGCATAGTTAAATCTCACACCTGCAATCCTCTCTCAGCTCATCTCTTCTCAAAGGCAAAATGAGGAACTATGAAGGGATGCAGTAATTTCGTTATAAACTATTACACATGGAAAAGTGAATCACTATGAGCCAAACACCTGTGTAATCACCGCCCAGGTCTTTGCCATCAGCCCAGAAGCTCCCCTCCCCCACCCATTTCATTTCATAAGTCTTTCCTCACCCCTAAAGCAGCAACTATCCTGGTGTGGTAATTATTTCCTTATATATCTTTATAGCTTTATCAATTTGTGATGCATCCCTAACCACTATAGTTTTGCTTGTTTTTGAATTTTCTATAAATGAGAATAATGTATATTTTTGTGTGTCTGGCCTCTTTCAGCTGGTTGTGTTTCTGGGATCATCTACTTTTGTTACGTGTAGTTGTAGTCCATTCGTTTTCATGGCTACTTAATATTCCCTTGTATGAACATATAACAATTTATTTGGCCATTCTGGTCCTACAGATATTTGGATTGTTGCCAGTTTGGGGCTATTACAAATAATACTGCTAATAACACGTTCATGTATATATCTCCTGGTATGCAAGGGCAAACTTTAGAGTATATATCTTGAAGTGGAATTGCTGGAGTATAGGGTATGCTTATATTCAGCTTTATTAGATGACGTCAAATTGTTCTTCAAAGTGGTCATAAAATTTACACTCCCATTAGAGATGTATGGTAGTCATCTTGTAAACACACAATGGAGACTTTTCCAGGAGGAGGCCAAGAGGAAGACTTCTGCTTCTTTTGTTTTTTTTCCTGATTCAAAGGGTAAAGCTGATATTCTGCTGCATGAACCAGTCTAGCTAGCAGATGTGGCAAGCATCTGTACTTTTGGAAATTAGCCCTTTATCAAATATATGCTTTGTAAATATTTTCTCCCATTCCATAGGTTGTCTCTTTATACCATTGCTATGCAGAAACTTTTTAGTTTGTTGTAGTCCCACTTGTCTATTTTTGCTTTTGTGCCCTATGCTTTTGGTGTCATCTCCAAGAAATTATTGCCAAGACCAGTGTCAAGAAGATTTTCCCCTATGTTTTCTTCTAGAAGTTTTATAGTTTCAGATCTTATATTTAAGTCATTTCTTCTGATTTCTGTACTTTCTTGGAGCTTAAAGCTAGTAACTCCTTATTAACTGATTAGCTCTTTGAAGCTTTTAAGATGATTTTAAGCATATTTTATCCAACATTTATCTTAAGCTCTACCTTCAGGAGGATGGGTCTGAGTTATTTAATCTAACATTATCAGAAGCAAAATTCCCCAGGTGCACATGTGCATGTGTTATTATTGTTGTTTAAATCTGGGAGGATTTATTTTGAGTGAAAACTGCCTTTTTGCTAAAGATTTACAGGATTACGTCAAGGAAAAAGTGATTACCCATATCCCTTGCTTTCTTAGGTACATTCTAGCAAAGTAAGTTGTAACGTAAATAATTGTTTTGACTTTTGTTATAAAATTAAGGGACCATTCAGACACAGGCCCCATCACTTAACAGGAGTAGGATAAAGCTCAAACCTCAACCTAGGGCGGGGCACGGTGGCTCACACCTGTAATCCTAGCACTCTGGGAGGCCGAGGCGGGCGGATCGTTTAAGCTCAGGAGTTTGAGACCAGCTTGAGCAAGAGTGAG